GCAACTATGGAATGTAAGCAGGCATTGTATGCATGCAATATCTACACTACCTATTGTGCCTGGTCTCATATTCTTATCAGTCTTATTCTAAATGGTTACGCCTTATAACTGTCCCAGTTTTTCCTGAGAACACAAATCTAAAAATGACTGCCCTCCAAAGATTTTTGGACAGCAAAGTCAAAATTGTTATATTTCTTTAAAGTCAAACTATTCATATTTTTCAACATGAGCTTAATATGAATAATTCCAATATAATGCACAGTTTTCTCCTGTAATGCTGTGCAAACAATTAATCATATACTCATTCAGAGCATAAAAGTCAGTATTTTGGTTAATATTCTCTTTTATTTTCAATTACTGCATCACATTTGTGACCCATTGAGTTCACTAAACTGTTTGTGTAATCATGTGAGATGCCAAGTCTTTGCAGCTACAAGATCAAGTTCTTTCTTATTCTTGGAGTGTTCTGACTTCAATACTTTCTTCAGTATGTGAGATGAATGTAAATGCAGACTGAAATCTGGAGATTGACGTGGACATCTTTCCATTTTTTCTCTACTGATTAACTCTTTGGTTGCACTGGTGCAGCTCCATCCACTAAAGCTAGAAATATTTTCTTCCACATAAGCAAACAAAATGTTTCTGCAAATGTCAGAATTAATTTTGCAGTTGTCATTATTAGATACATTTTCAATAATGAAACGTGAGTCAGCTCCAGAGGGACCTTCATGCTCAGAACATGACATTACCCTCCACCAGGTTTCACAGATGAGATGGTCTTCAGATGGTCTCAGCTGCAGTTCCATCACTATGATAAAAGTTTATCTGGGTCTCATCTGTCTGGTAAACTTTGTTCCAAAACTCTCAGGGCCCCATCTTTGTACTTCTGAGAAAATTCTGAAGCATGTTGGAGGTAATGTCATGATCACAAGTATACATTTCTCATTTGTAAATGAAAAATAAGATTGAATCTGTCCCAGTTCTAGGGGGTGCTGTATATTTTAAGATAAGTTAAAGTATATTAAGCTTTCCTTCGAAAAGGGTTATGTGTAAATGTAAAGCATTATTTCTAAATGGCCAAATTAACCTATTAATATGTTTTTGTAATCATATCATTATGTTAAGCTCTATTTACAGGTCAAATTTTCAATTTGATGTCAATAAACTATCTTTATGGAAAACAATTGAAAACCTGCAGCAAGAAAGTTTAAGAGTAACATTTCAGAAAACATTATTCAATTTGAATATTAAGTTCTTTGTTTTAAGTGTATTTTTGTAAACATGATTACTTTTTGACAGTCTTTTATATACTGCCTTCAACAATATGGCCCCTTATATCACTTGCATAAAATACATGTTCGCAAAGGTATATACAGCATGTTGTTTCAGAGGTAGTTTCCTGTAAGCTATTTTAAAACAAACTAACACCTCAGTAAGTTGTGGAACAGAATACAGTACATGTCATTCTCAGGTCCTTAATTGGTCCTCATTGAGCAATGGCAACTGACAGCCACGGTGCTATGCTTGACACTAGACTGTCATCTGCATCCATCACTTTCCCTGACAAAAAATGTGGTTATATCAAAAAAGAATATATGGTGTGCATCACAAAGACACTAAAAAACTTTTTGAAAAGCCCTGAAAGTAAAGATTATCAGAAAAAACAACATGTAGTACTAATCCATCACATTGACCTGTCAAATCGTTGTTAGCTGTTCCTTTCTACATGTCCATAAAGGTAAAAGGCTACTCTACAGCATGTAATACAAAATACAGGACGGACAATTGGCTTAGAAATGGGTTAAATTTCCATATGTTTTCAGAGACATGTGCATCTGAGTATTGAGAGAAAGAGGTTTATGAACTGCTTATAATATGGAATCTAGAAAATGTTTCCATATATGTAATATATTTATCTTATATCTTGACTCAGATTGACTCAGACTTTTCTTAATGCAAAAGAGTTTAATTCACACAGACTTCACTTAGAAATTCTGAACATACACATAATTAAAGGAGACTTTAAAGGAGACTGACAGGTTGATGGCGTACTGTTATTTGTGACTTTTCTGATTCTCTGAAATAGTTCATGCATGTTATTCTAAACAGTAGTTTTAAGTTACATTCCATACTATAACTATTAAGTACCTAAACTTACAGGTACTGTATGTACAGTAGTATCTATTATGTACCTACAAATCCAGTTTTCCCAAATCCATATATTTAATTCTATGCTAATTTACATGCTTCTGTAAATTAAAGGGACCATTTTCTTTAGGTAGGGTGTGTAAGGAAAACATATAGTAGAATGATAAATAATAAAAAAATCTGTGTCCAATATGAAATCTGGTGTAACGAGCACAACTTAGGTTATATTATAAGTATATTAACCACTGTAGACCTACTTTTTGGTTTTAAATAGTGAAGTTACAATAAAGTTATGTAGACTGTACACCAATTAAATAATGTCACCTCAAGTCGTAAAACTTTAAATATACACCCTTAAAGTTCTGGTGGGAAAAATCTGAGAATTACCCAAATGAGATTTCAATTTCCCAAACTCAGATTGGTTGTCTTTAATATGATAAATGCAACATGCATTTTGTGGAAGCTCAAACAATATTTACTAACAAATACTAAGGAGATCTCTTAATCAATATAAACTAAATGACTACAACAGGTAGCAGTTCTATTCATACAGTTAAGATTATAATCATATGGATGATTTAGTTAGGTTAAAATATTGTATAGTTATTACACTGGACAGGTTTACACATAATGCAAAATGAAGGATTAACAAACGTTACAATTTTGTAAGTAACAATCAATATTGAAAAAGATGGATATAAAATTCAAGACTGTGCATACTGTACACCTCACAGGTGACATATAAAGTAGGCAAAAAGGTTACTTATGGAATAGGTATTCATGTTTACACATTGTGGCATCTTTTAGATAATGTCGGAAAACAATACAAAGGCAAACAAAATATTAGGATATACACTATAGTTATATGGTATAGAATTCAAATCTATAGTTATTTTAAAATTGTGTAATGTGTTTACTGAGGCTTCATTAAGCATATTGTCTACAATATTGTAAAATGTGTACAATGGTCACCACATTTAAAAAAATTGATTGCTGCTCTGAGATCAGTTCAAGGAAGAGCAACCTCTCCAGGACTTTAAGGAATGTCTTACACGAACAGGCTAAAAGAACTGAATATTCAAGTTCAAGTTTCAAGTTTCAAGTTTATTGTCATTACACTCATATACATGGTATATGGTATAACGAAATGCTATTTAGCTAGCTCTCGGACATAAGTAGTACAAAGAGAAAACAACAACAACAACAACAACAATACAATTGTGTAGCAAAAGAAAGACAGAGACAACAGGCAGTGTGCAAAAAACAACAACAGACGATGTGCAAAAAAACAACAACAGGCAATGTGCAAAACAACAAAAAGGTAACAGGTTACGTGCAAAAATATGCATCAACAGAATAAAATAAAGGGATAGAAATTATGGGGAGTGAGCTTTTGACATGTATGGTAGAGGTAGATTTTCAATGTGTGTTTGGGTTTTTGGTAAGAAAGAAAGGAAGAAAGCACTGTGAGGTTCAGATCATAGGTGAGAGGTGAGGTGAGAGTGAGAGTGAGAGTGAGAGAGGCTGGGAATTTAACAGTTTGATAGTGCGGGGGTAAAAACTGTCTCTGAGTCTCGTAGTCCAAGCCCGAATGCTCTGGTACCGTTTTCCAGATGATAGCAGATCATAAAGTCTGTAGCTGGGGTGTGTGGGGTCTTTGATTATGCTTAGAGCTTTCCTCAAGCACCATCTGTCATAAATGTCCTGGGAGGGTAACCCTAGTGATGGACTGGGCAGTTTTCACCACCTGCTGTAGGGCTTTGCGGTCAGCAGCACTGCAGTTGCCATACCACACTGTGATGCAGCCCGTCAGTGTGCTTGTAGTGCATCTGTAAAAGTTGTTAGTGAGGATCTGGGGACATATCTTAGCCTTCTTCAACCGTCTTAGGAAGTACAGGAGCTGTTGCGCTTTCTTGATCAGACAGGTGGTGTTGAGAGACCATGTGAGGTCCTCTGTGATATGGACACCAAGGAATTTAAAGTTACTAAAGTAACTAAGTTACTAAGAATTTAAAGGAATATTCTTAATCTTCAACAGATTGCAGTACAAGGGGACCTGAGTTAAGTACTCAAAACCTTCAATGATGAAGTCAATCTTATGGACTTTTTCATAATAAACAGAGAAACACAAACCAGATGACATAACTGAAAACTATGTGGAAGTGCTTTAAAACTGAGAACAGTAGGCACGTTTATGCAAAAGAGTATGTGGGAGTATGGTACAAACTACTCATCCTTGTTTTTCAAGCTAATATCCTGACTTTTTTCACAAAATGACTGGATGAGATCTTTATACAGTATCAATAAGCTGCAAATTGTCAAAAGATTAGATGGGCCTTATGTCTTCCTCTCAGTTGTACAATAACTGTTCTCATGTTCCGAAACTACAAATTATGTTATGTACAAGGTAATGAACAACAACTTAAACTACTCAAATTGTCACATAGCAGTGCCTTCATTAACGTAACAGATTTGCAAGAAAAAGTAATTTCCAAATCCAGAAGTAAAGCATTAAATGCAATATACAGTAGCAGATGCAATAATTAATTTTATAACATTTAAAAGAAATTAAATGAGGAAAAAGTTCTAAGAACATGAGTTGATATTCAATTTTTTTTATTTTCTAAAGCAACTGAGAAGAAGGTTTTGTAAATCATACAATATTGTATAAACATCATATCATATCAGTCTGCTATGAAACCATTTAGAACCCATTTATGGATTGTAGTTCAACAGTTCACTGAGGAATTTCAGGATTGCCCATTCTTTGAAGAATGTATGTTAAAGATAAAAAAGAAACTTCAATACAGAACAAAGTCAATATCTTATCAGCTGAATTAGACAGTACTTACAAGTCTGGGATAAGCAGCTGTCCTTGAGTAGTGTAAGGCTATGCGACCCCTCACATTCTGATAGTTGCTGACATTTTCTTGCTGGGGATTTAAGGTTTTGCTTTGAACAAAACCACAGACCTGGGTTACAGTATATAGATTACTTTTTGGCACATGCCTCAATCGAGCATTTACAAACTGGTGACTTGTAGTCCCAAATAGAGGCGTAGGATATCGTCCATGATTAATAAATTATGACATAAAATAGCACGATTGTAGCTTTTCAGATTAATCCTTTCTATGGAGCCTTGTTTGTCAGGTTATGGCTTCAGTGTGCCCAGTGTGTAGGAAAAGGGAGATGGGAGGGGGCAAATGTGACAAGGACATTCACAGTAAACCTATGATATCACGGGGTGAAACAATGTTAGCTTTGTTGAGTTTCCAGCACAAAAGTCCAGTGCCTTTCTCGTTCAGGAATACTTGAACAACAAGGACTACAGACCACATTTAAGTGAGCCCTTTCTCTGTAAGGATGATCTCTCATTCATAGACTGATGCCTAGTTTTCATCGTTAAATTGTCTCATCTGTAGTCGTTCTAGAGTTCGCCCCAGTGAAATACAGTACACTATACTTTGAATTCCTAAAGAGCGTGTTTAGGTTTTTTAGGCCATGATGGCTGATTGGTTGCTATCCCAGTTTTATACATGCCATTAAAGGTCAGGGTAATCCATGTTCATTTTCTTGTCAAACATCAGTATGCTGTTACATTTCTAAAGCATCAAGAAAACTTTGAAATGCTGATGCTATAAAAAACGATAACATGGAGAGAGAGTGAAATCCATTTGTAATATACTGTAAACATGAATAGTTTGTTGCAATCAGTATTGATTTTTTAATTAAACATTTACAGTTAAACATTTAATTGATTTAAACATATTTAACATTTAATTAACACTGAATCAGACATTAGAGCATAAGTCATCAGTCCTTGGAGAGTGTTGTTTATTTTAATCAGCATCAGGAAATGGTAAGAGCTCAGTATGCGAAAAGCGAACAAATTCCTAATTCAGAAAGTCATTGATGGGATTATCTAGTTTCCATGAAGGGAAGATGGTTTAAACAGCTTGTGATTCAAAGAAATGACCAGTGAAGGCAAGTCGAATCACATCAAGCATGAAGCCTAAAAGTATATTTACTAGTGTAGAAATATAGGGCTGCTTCACTTCATTTTACTTCTCAACTAATTGTACAGTATATTTTAATAAATGTAACTTTTAAGAACTAAGTACAGTATATAGTACATACAGTATGTCTCTTAATATATTTATATTATTGTTAATAACAGGAATGCCAGCACTATTTGCTCCAGAAAGAATAACCAACTGATCACACAAAACATCACAGAAGAAACAGTAATAATTTTGTTGGCAAATGCTCAGAAGGTTTGTTACACCTACAATCTGCTTTCTGGAATTTGGTGCATGACTCCCACCCTGTGGATAAACTCTGAAACAGCAAAACAGGAAGTATATTTCTCACTTGGGAATTTCAGTGGGAATTCCTCTACAAATTCATGACGGCTGTGGCATACCAATTAATTTGTTTAAAAAACAAAATGATTAAATTATTCATATTCAATGTTAAAAAAGAGAAAATGTTTATTTAATATTTGTGGTCATGTGGTTTTGGGTTTGGGTCAACCAGGGAGATCCAACTGTGGTCTTTGTGAGGTGCGTCTGTGTGTCAGCTCTTAGTTAGCTTAATAGGAGCAATTTACAAACTTAACCCCACTCTTTAGGTGATGGCTCTTTAGAGACCTAGAAAACTAGCAGACTAGACACACTGACCACCCTGATCTATGTCATCAAAGTGATATTAAAAAGATGAAGGGTGTACTCTAGTATTTTTGTGATGAGATTTACTTATGAAATGAACATTTAGAAAACACAGATGTTTTAAATATTGTAGACAAAATCCTCCAGGTGGGAATACGTTCTATCAAGCTTAAATAGATTTCTGGGCCTAGCATACACAAGAGTTTTGATGGCTACTAGCCAGTCCCAGCCCCAGAGAGAGCTGGTGTATTGATTCCTTGAGGCTCATCAAATACAGGGTTCATCATAGCATCCAGCGAGGATATAAACATCTCTAACCTTCACTCCAGTCAACCAAAGGACATCCTGACCATCAGCCCCTCATATATTGGACACTCTACAGTTTGAGGACAAACATATGTAGAATTTTTCAATTTTATAGTAATGCAAAATAAAATCAAGGAGAAAAAAAAATAAGGTTGCAACAGTTATCCAGTATCCCTGTATAAATATCTGTGTACACCACACAGATAATCTCTAAATATTTCTCACATTTTGTGATCATTACGTCTTATGCACTATTTGTCGTTGCTATGATACACAGTAATTCTTCATTATTTTGTTTGTTGTTTATCTATCAATCCCACCATTTTGTGTTAGGTTACAGATCAGAATTCACCTCTGTTTCAAATGGAGGGTTTAAAATCATAGTTCGCGGTCATATTGAGTTCAGGTTGTAAGTGTAACTTAAAAATAAACCTTGCCTTTATGCCCTTCCACTGATTGATTTTAAATAGGCCGAATTGAAACGGTTAGTAGTGAGTTCCTCATAAAGTTACAGTTTTGAATATTGTAATGTCCCACTTTTATAAATAGTTTTCTCCTGTGAGGCATTTTATTAAATAGACTTAAGTTTGTTTGGCAGAGCTTGTGTATTTTGTAAGATTTTGTCATGTCTTCTGTATATGTGGTTAAACTCAAAAGCAACGTGTTTGCCCAGATGCAGCCAGCAACGAAAATGAAATTTAAGTCCAAACGTCCATCCATAGCATATTTTTAAATGAGGCAAAAATACAAGTGTCATATACACTATGTCTGTATTTGAAGGGGAGAAACAGGGGTTAGTTAAGTAGAGAAAAGAGCACCTGGACCGCATGGGGGACCCAGGTGGCGGACTGGGTTAGCTGACTTGGCAGCCTCTGGGGCATAAAACGCAAACACCCCTGACTTGCGGAGAGTCGCTCGAGTGGTGCTGTCCCACGACTGGGAGCTAGGCCCTCAGGGGTAGGGAAGGAAGAAGAAAACTCCCCTGACTCGCTGAGATTTCGCAGGAGAGACGCTGCCTCACGACTGGGGATGAATCCTTCAAGGGGGAAGAGAAAGAACCCCTAACTGGAGGAATCGCTTTGAGGGGCACTGCCCAAGGGGTTGAGAATGAAGAGAAAGCTGCTCGAGAAAGAAGCGAAAGAAGTCCCCTGACTTGCCAAGAGTCGCTTTGAGGCGCTGCCTTGCAACTGAGATAAACCCTCAGGGGACCGAGAAAACGAGAATTAGTAAAATGGAGTTCCAGAGAATAATGTGGCCGGGGCTCCCCTCTGGCTTGTGCTTGAGAACCTCCCCAGAAAGGGTGAAGGTGGCACAGCCATCCTGAAGTCGGGAAAATGAACTTCACTTACCCCCCAAAGATGGACCCCGGACCAACACTTTCCCTCCCACCACCCGTGAGGACAAACAAAGTGTGTGCCAATGCATAATTAAAATAAACAAGACAAAAGAAGAGGAGAAGAAGGTGAAGAGGCGATGTGTGAGCCTGACCGTACAGTGGAGAGGAAAAAAATCTGAAGAAAGACTAGACAGATTATTTTGCTTTTGTTTCAATTGTTTTCTTACATCTTTAAAATGGTTTAATGTACTGTCACAACACAGGAAACAATTAATATTAATATTGAGCACAGATATATAAAGGTTTGTTATAGAAATGTTTTCATTTTTTAGTATTGCACAGATTTTAATCTGGGTTTCTTTGTGAAGACCAGGACAAGATTATTACTTTATTAAAGAAGTACTATATCAGTTTAGTATCACTACAACATTTTCTACACTGACAATGTTCATGAAACAATTCCACCAAGCATTTTCCTGATTTTAATAAAACTGAATATCACATATTTCTTAATTGCTCTATGTGAAAAAATATTTTAGACATGGGTTTAGCATGCCAGGTTCAATATCTGACTACATATTTTTCCGATTCTACCATTCAACTCTAAATTTACATTCTGAATTTCATTGAGTGTCATATGTATGTTTGATTTATGATTAATGGGGAAATGGCATCATTCATTACTGTGACATAGAAAGTTGTCTTCTTCCAGGCTACCTGACACTATCTCTCAGGAACTTGGCATTTGCAGTCTGACTGTGTCTGTAATAGCTTTACCAGATCATCAGAGCCTGATAAATCAATTTTCACAGAAAAAACTGCACTGAATCTCTTTGGCAATTTTGTTCCTACTGAGACAACGCCAGGTGTTCCACAAAATTTACATTTTTTCAGATCAGTTGTTTATTCGCATTGGGAAGTATTAAGAATTTCTGGCTGTGCGTATACCAACTGGGGATACTTCAGTCAGCGTACCATTCATCATATAAGATAATTGACTGTTGTGGTTGATTTTTGTTTGGAATGGCCTGTAATATCACATTGAAATAATGCAGGCCCTTCAAGAATGGATTTATTGCTTTTCTTTAAATAGATTTTAATAGGAATAAACATTAAATGTACAAGGTTATGCTTTTTCCATGTAAAAAAAATTTATTTGCACCATCCACTTGGATAATGTTTTTGAACTTCTGAATTGTTGCAAAATGTAAGTACATATTGTAGCACTCTCAGGTTCACATGGATATGCACCCTCACCGCTGCCGCCTCAGGTCAGCCCCCCACCACTGGGGACTCGAACCTGGGCCTCCGGTGTCACTCAACAGGGACCATGTTAGTTATATTCTCCTTTTCTTACAGTCTCATAGGTGGAAGCCACCTCACACAAAATGCCCAAGGTACACCACAGTCACCATTACTTAAACCTTATGAAGATAAGTTCTTATCCTCATTACAGTCAAATGTTGGTATTTCAGGTGTCACACCTGAAGAAGGCTCCACGGCCGAAACATTGTGTTCTCTTTCTTCTTTTTTTCAGCATGGAATAAACCTATTACTTGTTCCTTTGCATCAATATACAGTGCCTTATAAAAGTATTCAGACCATTTAATATATAGTCAAAGTCCTTTTGTCCTTCATTGTATATAGTGTGTTTACTGAAGTACTGTAAGTAATATCTCCATGTTGTTTCTGTGACATTCACATCCACAGAAGTACACTAGGTAATGATTGCGATAATAATAAACCATCCTCTACACCAAGTTGTAATATTCCTTATTAAAAGACAGAATTTGGAGCACTTGAGTGACAGTGACGTAAAACTTTGTTTTTGTAGCAGTCATCTTAGA